TCCACCTTTTCAAACAGTCCCCCTCCTCCACCTTTTCAAACAGATCCTCCTCCTCCACCTTTTCAAACAGCTCCCTCTCCACCTTTTCAAACAGTCCTCCTCCACCTTTCAAACAGTCCCCCTCCTCCACCTTTTCAAACAGTCCTCCTCCTCCACCTTTTCAAACAGTCCCCACCTTTTCAAACAGTCCTCCTCCACCTTTCAACAGTCTCCTCCTCCACCTTTTCAAACAGTCCCCTCCTCCACCTTTTCAAACAGTCCTTCCTCCACCTTTTCAAACAGTCCCCTCCTCCACCTTTTCAAACAGTCCCCTCCTCCACCTTTTCAAACAGTCCCCTCCTCCACCTTTTCAAACAGTCCTCCTCCACCTTTTCAAACAGTCCTCCTCCACCTTTTCAAACAGTCCTCCTCCACCTTTTCAAACAGTCCCCTCCTCCACCTTTTCAAACAGTCCTCCTCCACCTTTTCAAACAGTCCTCCTCCACCTTTTCAAACAGTCCTCCTCCACCTTTTCAAACAGTCCTCCTCCCCTTTTCAAACAGTCCCTCCTCCACCTTTTCAAACAGTCCTCCTCCACCTTTTCAAACAGTCCTCCTCCACCTTTCAAACAGTCCCCTCCTCCACCTTTTCAAACAGTCCCCTCCTCCACCTTTTCAAACAGTCCCCTCCTCCACCTTTTCAAACAGTCTCCTCCTCCACCTTTTCAAACAGTCCTCCTCCACCTTTTCAAACAGTCCTCCTCCACCTTTTCAAACAGTCCTCCTCCACCTTTCAAACAGTCTCCTCCTCCACCTTTTCAAACAGTCCCTCCTCCACCTTTTCAAACAGTCCTCCTCCACCTTTTCAAACAGTCCTCCTCCACCTTTTCAAACAGTCCCCTCCTCCACCTTTCAAACAGTCCTCCTCCACCTTTCAAACAGTCCTCCTCCACCTTTTCAAACAGTCCCCTCCTCCACCTTTTCAAACAGTCCCCTCCTCCACCTTTTCAAACAGTCCCCCTCCTCCACCTTTTCAAACAGTCTCCTCCTCCACCTTTTCAAAACAGTCCTCCTCCTCCACCTTTTCAAACAGTCCTCCTCCACCTTTTCAAACAGTCCCTCCTCCACCTTTTCAAACAGTCCCCTCCTCCACCTTTTCAAACAGTCCTTCTCCACCTTTTCAAACAATCCCCTCCTCCACCTTTTCAAACAGTCCTCCTCCACCTTTTCAAACAGTCTCCTCCTCCACCTTTTCAAACAGTCCTCCTCCACCTTTTCAAACAGTCTCCTCCTCCACCTTTTCAAACAGTCCTCCCTCCACCTTTTCAAACAGTCTCCTCCTCCACCTTTTCAAACAGTCCTCCTCCTCCACCTTTTCAAACAGTCCCCTCCTCCACCTTTTCAAACAGTCCCCTCCTCCACCTTTTCAAACAGTCCCCTCCTCCACCTTTTCAAACAGTCCCCTCCTCCACCTTTTCGAACAGTCCTCCTCCTCCATCTTTTCAAACAGTCCCCTCCTCCACCTTTTCAAACAGTCCCCTCCTCCACCTTTTCAAACAGTCCTCCTCTCCACCTTTCAAACAGTCCCCTCCTCCACCTTTTCAAACAGTCCCCTCCTCCACCTTTTCAAACAGTCCCCTCCTCCACCTTTTCAAACAGTCCCCTCCTCCACCTTTTCAAACAGTTCCCTCCTCCTCCTTTTCAAACAGTCCTCCTCCTCCACCTTTTCAAACAGTCCCCTCCTCCACCTTTTCAAACAGTCCCCTCCTCCACCTTTTCAAACAGTCCCCTCCTCCACCTTTTCAACAGTCCCCTCCTCCACCTTTTCAAACAGTCCCCTCCTCCACCTTTTCAAAACAGTCCCCTCCTCCACCTTTCAACAGTCCTCCTCCTCCACCTTTTCTAACAGTTCCCTCCTCCTCCTTTTCAAACAGTCCTCCTCCTCCATCTTTTCAAACAATCCCCTCCTCCACCTTTTCAAACAGTCCCCTCCTCCACCTTTTCAAACAGTCCTCCTCCTCCATCTTTTCAAACAGTCCCCTCCTCCACCTTTTCAAACAGTCCTCCTCCACCTTTTCAAACAGTCCTCCTCCTCCACCTTTTCAAACAGTCCCCTCCTCCACCTTTTCAAACAGTCCCCCTGTGGTCTAAATGAAACATCTGTTCTGTGCTTTGGTCAAAATATAACATGAATCAAGCACCAGAGGAGGTTTGTGACCCTGTATAAACCAGCTCTCTCAGAACGCTCCGTTTTGGTGTGTGTGTCTCTTTAAAATGAGCCCCGCCCCCTGAGTATTCCCCGTAGACATCACTCCTCTGTAGTGAGAATAGAAATGGCCGACCTGCGTTAAAGTTTTGATCTAGGCTGGAGGTGGAGTCCATGGTTGGAGATTTTTTCACAAGAATCCCACTGTGACATCACAAGGAGAGCACATTAGAAACAGAGCATTTTTCTCTGTGTTGTAAGACTTATGCAGACCACAAACAAAGGGCTGGATGGTTTATTTCACATGTTGTGGGTCAGTAGACTCTCAGCTTACACAGATATATGTTCACAAACACTGTAGAAGTGGATTCTTCAGAATATGTCTCCTTTAATATCTGCGACAGTGATTTGCTTAGTTTAAACCTTTCGTCTCCATAGTAACCAAACTAACAATATAAACAATATATATAAATGTCAATGGAGGATTTGAACGGGGAAATGTATTTATGAAACCAGAGCTGCTGAGAAAGTGGGCGACCAGGTTCGAGCCCGGTCCTCAGCTCCTCTCCTCAAAATGTAAGAAAAGAATTGAACCAATCAGCATCCGTAAATTAAACAGTTATATTTTCCCGCCTTTAATCCCCTCCTGGTCTGAAATACTGAGAAATAAAAATGGGACACTTCTGGAAAATAATCATTTTAAAACCCATGGTAACAGATGATTCAAAAAGGATTTATTCTGTTTATTGTTTTCAGAGTCTGTACTCTCCTCTTCAGGTCATGAAACCTCCTTTAATGTAAAAACGTTTTAGTGAAATGATCTGCGAGTCCTGCGGCTCTGTCGGGAATGTGATTTCAGTTTTATTTTCACTGAACCTCGGGCTGTTTTCTGCTGATTTTCCTCGCTGTGTCTCAGTCCTCTGATTCGTCTCAGTGGATTTATTCACAACAAAGAGGACGAGTGATCAGGTAAAGGTTTTCATTTTTCAGCTCGGAAATATCTTCAGAGCTAATTTTACTCCTCGAGCGTCTCATCCCTGAGATCATTTTTAGTTTCCTCTGATTTAAGCTCACGTGTCATCTTTATAAATAAGCACACTGATGTTTTCTTACATGCAGTAAAGCAGAAAAAAACATCTCACAGATCAACATTCAGACATAAACACCAAAAAATCTAAATAATTTTTTATTTTTTTTCCCGATTGAAAACGATTTCCATCAGATTCTCAAGGACGCCTGGAGGGTTCCTTTATTTCCTTTTTTTTTCTCGTCCTCCTACATTTCTCACAGCAACTTCCACAACACAGCAACCCTGGAGTTTCCCGTTGCTGTGGCAACCGTTTCCTGCAGCTTGTGTCACTACGGTAACAGCAGGAGATTGAAAGATGGGACAGACTGTTAAATCTGATCTCCTTTAGACGTTGTTTTATACACAGACTGTAAACTAATAATTAATGAAGTCTGAGTGGCGTCCCCGTCTGTCCCTGCAGGGGGCGCTGGAGTCCCATCGATGGCGGTCTCCATGCTGGAAATGCTGTCTCAGTCTAACTTTCAGTCAACCTAACGACAGGCTGAGAGCTGGAGCTGAGGCGGGTTTTAAACCTCCTGACAAACCGTTACACCGCGCCCACCTGTCAATCAGGTCAGCTACACGCCTTATTGTGAATAACTCTTATCCTTCATCAAATCAAAACTGATGAGTCATCAAAACATTCACCCCCCGTACAGTGTGTGTCCATCCAGACATGAGCTAATCACACCTATTTGGTTTTTGAACCAGGCTGTAAACATGTTCATCTCTGCTGTAAAAACAGGCTTTTTAGAATGGGTGTGTATGTGACTTCCTGTGCTTCTGCAGCCAGCCTCTAGTGTGACTCGAGGAACTGCAGGATGTTACACTTCAGCACTGGCTTCATGTTTCAAGAATGGAGGTTACCGTTTGTTTGTTTGTTGTATTTTGTAACGTGTTACAAAAATGATTTTGACTTGAATTAAATAAAATAAAACACTAAAATCAAAACTCTGAAATCCTCTCTGTTGAGTTTCTTCTTGTCCTGAAACAAACCAGCGAGCTGCTGTGATTGGCTAAGACGTTTCAGTTTCTCCTTTGTTTCCTCAGCTGTCCCTTCCTGGCGTCCAACCTGACCCCGGCCATCCCTGCGGTGGGCGGCGTCCTCTTCATCTTCGTGATGGGGATGCTCTTCAGGGCGAGTTTCACCGACCCTGGCGTCCTTCCTCGAGCGACGCCGGATGAGGCCGCCGACTTGGAGAGACAAATCGGTAAACACTCATACAGATTGATCATTTACAAAACAGAATCCGGGCCACAGGCTGGACTTGAACCCGGGTGGACCCCATTAATCCATATCCTTAAGATGCTTTGAATCTCTGAAGGATTTTTTAATTATTTTCAGATGTGAGAAAAAAAAAATCATCTGCAGAATAATTTGATCACTAACGAAGCTGAGTCATGAGAGGAAGACGCTCGCCACCTCCTCGTTGTGTGTGTGTGTGTGTGTGTGTGTGTGTCTGTGTGTGTGTGTGTGTGTGTGTGTGTGTGTGTGTGTGTGTGTGTGTGTCTGTGTGTGTGTGTGTGTGTGTGTGTGTGTGTGTGTGTGTGTGTCTGTGTGTGTGTGTGTGTGTGTGTGTGTGTGTGTGTGTGTGTGTGTGTGTCTGTGTGTGTGTGTGTGTGTGTGTGTGTGTGTGTGTGTGTCTGTGTGTGTGTGTGTGTGTGTGTGTGTGTGTGTGTGTGTTCAATCACATGTCATCTCTTCAGTTCCAGACCTCCGCTCCATTAAAAACGCGTCTCAGCGAATCAGTGGTTTCCACAGAAACGGAGCGTCACCGTCAAAGCGCTCCGGTTCTATATTTGGAAACTGCTTATTATTTTTTGTTTGTTTAAATATTTATTTATTTTTCACGGTGGATACATTATCAGAGGAGTGACGGAGCTGTCAATCACAGCAGAGCCGCGGTTCGGGGAACGACCAAATAAGGAAGAAGAAGAAGAAGGAGCAGGATGTTGAACACACACACACACACACACACACACACACACACACACACACAAACACACACAGCTCGTGTGTGTGTGTGATTTGGAGGACAGAAATAGAGGGCAGTTATTTTGTTTTGTTTTCTGATGGTGGTCAGGAATGTATTCTGTGACGCACCGCCTGAAACAACATCCCACTTCCTGTCCAACAAACCAAACTAAAGACACTCAGACATTTAACTAATGACATATAAAAGTCTGATATAAACAATCCTTAATGAACTTTGGAACAGGGAGCGAGATTCTCTCAGAACATGACCGCTTAAGAGTGAGAAATGTTTTTGAGTTAATTTATAAACTTGCTCGTCATTAAATGTTTGATTATGTCAATTGTTAGTTGTAAGAGTTTAAAATGCACAATATCTCTCTACTTAAAGGAAGAATGTGTCGACTCTCTGATCCAGTAGATGTCGCCCTGGAGCTCCAGCATGAAACCAAAACAAACTTCTGTTAGGCCACGCCTCCTCCATACTGAAGCCTCCGCTCTCCTCCAGAGACACGCCTCTAACTCCCCTCCATTCACGTTCACATGAAGGAGTTATCAAGTAGAACACACCATAATTAAGCACAAGCAGTGAACAACACTGTTCTTGGCTCGAGCTGCAAACACCTGTGTCCTGCATTGTTGTGTTAGCATGTTAATGTTAGCGCTCTTTAGTTAGCTTGTAGCTTCACATTGTTGTGTTAGCATGCTAATGTTAGCGCTCTATAGTTAGCTTGTAGCTTCACATTGTTGTGTTAGCATGTTAATGTTAGCGCTCTTTAGTTAGCTCGTAGCTTCACATTGTTGTGTTAGCATACTAATGTTAGCGCTCTATAGTTAGCTTGTAGCTTCACATTGTTGTGTTAGCATGTTAATGTTAGCGCTCTTTAGTTAGCTCGTAGCTTCACATTGTTGTGTTAGCATGCTAATGTTAGCGCTCTATAGTTAGCTTGTAGCTTCAAATTGTTGTGTTAGCATGTTAATGTTAGCGCTCTTTAGTTAGCTTGTAGCTTCACATTGTTGTGTTAGCATGTTAATGTTAGCGCTCTTTAGTTAGCTCGTAGCTTCACATTAGCTGTGTCCTGCATTGTTGTGTTAGCATGCTAATGTTAGCGCTCTTTAGTTAGCTCGTAGCTTCACATTGTTGTGTTAGCATGCTAATGTTAGCGCTCTTTAGTCAGCTCGTAGCTTCACATTGTTGTGTTAGCATGCTAATGTTAGCGCTCTTTAGTCAGCTCGTAGCTTCACATTGTTATGTTAGCATGCTAATGTTAGCGCTCTTTAGTTAGCTCGTAGCTTCACATTGTTGTGTTAGCATGCTAATGTTAGCGCTCTTTAGTTAGCTCGTAGCTTCACATTTCATGTAAACTGACACAGAATGAGCGTGATCTAAAAACTCTTACTAACATCCAAATAATCAGTGAGTATGTTCTTCTTCTTCTCTCTAGTTCTTGACTAAAACAGCTTTTATACACAAGGGGAGGAGCCGGCCGTCCCGTCCATGTAAACACGGCTCTGACAACAACACAGCCAGCGGGACTCGAGCTTCTCCCTCATTGTAGACAGTCAGGACTCAGAGACACATTTACACAGGACAGACTTTATGATTTATTTATGTGGAACATGTCGTCCTTTAAAAAACACCCTAACACTACAAATGCTGTTTATCTTTAAGCCGTGTTCACACACTGCCAGCGCCTTTTTTACATAAAAAGTATGACGCCTTTTTCAGTTGAATTATTTCAGCTTTTCAAAAAGCTCTGGGTGACGTCAAGCACCTTTCTGACAGCTGACCAATCAGGACGAGTAGTAACCTCCGTCCCTAGTTACCTGTGCCCAAAAACGTCGAACTTCTACCAGATCTGTGTGCATTGTGTGTCCGCTCCGGTCCGTTCCGGGTCCGTGCCTCCTCATCCGTCAACACCCAGCGGCTGTGATCTCAGTCTGCAGCACGGAGAGCTCAGCCGGACAGATGGAGTACGGAGACGAAGGAGTTTCTGCTGTAATTTAACAGATTCACTGGCGACAGCACGAGATAATACGATGTTCGTGGTATAAAACTCAATAAAAACCTTATAAACATACAAACAAACACACAAACGGAACCGTCAAAACGGAGGGTTTTATTCTGAAAATAAACCGGATGTTTTAATGTTGTATCGGTGTCTGACTTCCTGTCCCGTTTGATCTTTTCTGTGCTAAATTGATGCGTTGTGTTCCAGCGCGGTTACACCGCAGACTAGATCCCGTTGTTATGGTTACAGAACACTCGTGGAAAAGCGCTCAAAAGGCGCTGAAGGCAGCGCTTTTTTCTGAAAAAAGTCAAGTGTGAACACGGCCTTATGCAGTAACTCAAACAGATTGTTTTCAGACGTTTTTTTACGTCATAAATATCGTTTAATATTTTGTCATCATGTTGTTTGAACTCTCACATGTTGACACTGATATAAAGACTCATGAACACACCAACAGCTCCTTCTGTTTGTGATGCAGCTCCACACCGACCTGAGCATTTCTTTTCCCAGGAGGCTTTGCAGCTGTAAATCCAGTCAAGTGCAGTTTATCTCTCTGAGCAGACGTCGACTCTTCAAGGCTGTTGAGGATTTTATGATGCTGATTGTTGAACCTCAGGGGAAAGACTTCAACTCGGCTGCTTCCTCCTGGTTCTTCTTTTTCAATTTCAGTTTTTTTACGTTGACTGAGTTAAAAAACAAATTAAGTTTGTCCTAAAGGGGGCGCCGGAGGGAAGTTAACTTTAGTTAACAGAACGTATTCTCTGTACGGTGCCTCTTTAAGGACATTTCAGAATATTCAGGGTCTTAAGCTTAGCTATGCTCTGATGCTAATGCTAGCAGGTTAGCATAAAATGCTTTTGCTACTGTTAGCATCGCTATAGGTTTGTATTTTACATGTTTACCAAGCTACCTTACTATTTCACTTTTTTCACTGCTTACTTGTAGTGTTAGCATGTTTACATTAAGGTTTGTAGCTACTAGTCATTAGCATGCTTATTGTAAGTGTGCTAGCATGTTAGGGGGAATTCACTGAGAATGGATTGTAGCCGCTAATAGCATCACAATTTGTTCTCCCTCGATCTGCTGCATCTAAAGGTCTTACTCACAAAGCTCTGATGATATTCAGACACAAACACAGAGTCTCTGCTTAGAAAGAGGGGGAGGAGCTTAGACATTCAGGGGGAGGAGCTCAGAGTAGAGTCCCTACTCCTTCATATTTAAAGTAGCCAGCTGAGGTGGTTCAGGGATCTGATCTGGATCCTCCTGGACGCCTCCCTTTGGAGGTTTTCCAGGCACGTCCAACAGGGAGGAGACCCAGAGGTAGACCCAGAACACGCTGGAGTTATTATATATCCAGCCTGACCTGGGAATGCCTCGGGATCCAAAGCTGATCGTTTGCTCTTACTGACATTGGATAAAAGAGTCTGCTAAGTGAATTGTAGAATTGTAGGCGTAACAACATTTCAGTGGACGTCTGTGTTTACGTTCTCACCTACATTGTGTTGTTTTGTGTTTTCCAGACGCGACGGGCTGCTCCAGACCGCCCCCTCGCACCAGAGAGGTTCTGATCAACGGGCAGACGGTCAAACTGAAATACTGCTTCACCTGCAAGATCTTCAGACCGCCGCGAGCGTCGCACTGCAGCCTTTGTGACAACTGTGTGGGTCAGTGTGAGAGATATCAGAGGAAATAAAAGAAACAAACTCTCATTTTAAATAAACTTCAGACGTACATTTTGCTTTTAAACACAATCAAAAGACCATAAAGCAGCTTTTGTTCCTCCCTCAGAGCGTTTCGACCATCACTGTCCCTGGGTTGGGAACTGCGTCGGCCGGAGGAACTACCGCTTCTTCTACCTGTTCATCCTCTCGCTCTCCTTCCTCACCATCTTCATCTTCGCCTTCGTCATCACACACGTCATCCTCAGTGAGTAACACCGCTCGACACACCGCCTCCCACACGACTCGCTCTGTTTCAACAGTGAATCACTTATTGATCTCTTTAGGAAAACACTGACGAGTAAACTGAGAGAGTCACATTTCAACATTTACTACAGCACTGCACATGATGAACTGAAGGATGTTCTCATGTGACACTAATTCAAATGATGCTGTTACCATGGCAACGCAGGTAGAAGGCCTCTGCGGCCACTATTTGCTAATTTCATGTTTTTAGTTACTGAACATTGTAGGCAAACTCTGGCACGCTCTCTAAATTGAGCAAGTACTTTGGCAACACTTCCATACCCAAACTTTGCACGTTTTTGTACAATTTAGACAATGTGCAAGTTTTGATGGATTTATAATCAGAATCAGAATCTGGGTTTATTTCCAAGTACATTTACACATACAAGGAATTACACTTGGTGTATTGGTGCTAAACAATGAACAAGGAAATAAAGCAGAACTAACAACAACTTAAATAATACAGAATAAGAAGATATTACAATATATAAAATAGAATTTAAAAATGTAAAATATAAAAAATAAAATATTAAATATAAAATATAAAATGTAAAATATAAAATGTAAAATATATAGATATAAAATATAAAAATAAAAGATAAAAAACACAAAATGTACAAAAGGTGGAATGTAGGAGCTGTGCAGTGGACTATGAGAAAGTATTTATTCCTCTCCTACACACCTGTCCAATGATCCAGAGTCACCACAAAAGGGAAGAGGAGGGCGGAGGGGGGAGGGGCAAAACAAATATATGGAAATAACCATAGAAGAAGAAAACAAAGGAAGAAGGCGCTGCAAACAAAATGAAGTTCTCTCATAGGAAACAGACAGATACATGACGCTGTTCCAAAGAGTCTGAGAACAGAAGATCATCTTTTAATAATAAAGTTTATTTATTCATAGCGCTCTTTTAAAAAACAGAGTCACATTTAGTTCACATGGTTGAACCAACAACAAACAACTTAAGAGAGAGAGACGAGTAAAACCACAAATACAAACAAAATGTTAAAATGTCAACAACACATCAGACACTATTTTTAAAACAGACGATGAGCCTGATGTCATTAGATAAGGTTTTCCTTTGTTCTCATTAAAGTTTGAAAAGTGAAAATCCAGTCGTTCCAAACGAGGGTTTCTTGTATCTCGGGGGTTTAACGACAGCCACAGTGTGCAGGAAAGACTAACTGTAAAGACAAAAATAAGGATGTTTTAGAAGAATGTTAAAGAAACTGTAACAGCTGAAAAAAAGTTATGTTTAATGTCAAAGTGTCAAAATGTAGGAAACTCGCTAACAAGCAAATAGATTAGCTTAAAGTAAACGTTAACCAAAATTAGCTCAAATTAATTGACAAACTGTTTAAAATCTTAAAGGAGCAGTAAGTAACTCTGCCCCCTAGTGGTTAAAATGTGTACTGCAGTCTAAATTCTAAACATCATAGAGAGCTGTCTCCCCCCTCCTCTCTAGAGTGGATGCTCACTCAGGTCGCCATGTGGTGGACTCTGAAGCTTCAGTGTTTATCCAGCTCTGCATGGGTCTGTAAACCTTTCTGTGTTCTAACCTCTCTCCATTTTTCAAAAGCATCTCCAATATTGATCCTAGTTTGAGCACGTTTCTGCTCGTGGAGCTTATTAGAAACATGCAGAGGCTTTTTAGGTCGGGTACAATCACTTCTATCTGAACCACTTCTCTTGACCGCTTCCATCACTGCAACACCTGTTGACCTGATAACTGCTCTCATATCTGACAAACTGAGGGGCATCCAAAACGGCTGTGTGGGGGCGTGTCTTAAAAGCGCCTACCTTCTCTGGTCCAAACAAATCCAGAGCATTCAGGAGCAGAATCTAAAGTTAGAAGGAGGACATACTGGCTGCTGCATTGTTGTCAGAGAAGCCAGCACTTCAACATAGCATGTTTCCTTCAAATATTCACACAATGATGTCACTCCTGGTCCGTAATGTGTCATCACGTTTGAGTCAGAGTTTCTTTTCTATGTTTAATCAGAGATGTGACTCTCACCCTGGTGGGCGAGGTCTCCACTCTGCAGCAGCGTCTCATCTGTTTAATGGATTTAGACATCGATCCCGCTCGGCCCCGCCCCCCTGCCCTGTGATTGACAGGTTGTCAGAGAGAGTGGCTGAGGCTGCTGCGGTCTCTTCATGTTTCCTGTCGCCGATCGATTGGACAGCTTGCGACTCTGCGTCAGATTAATTGAACTTTTCCTTCTTAATGTTCTCTAAATGTTTCTTAGGATGTTTTGTTTCAGTCGTCTCAGAAATAATCTGAGTCCTCTGCTGGTTACTGATTTGGCGCCCTGCAGGTCTGAACCGGGGGGAAACTGGATCCTCCTCAGGCTGCTTGACAACCAGCAGACTGTCTGAGATGAACCCGTGTCTTTCCTCTCAACACTGCGCTGCTTGTTTTCTGTTTTTAGCAGCAGAGCTATAAAAACATCCGGCAGACTGTCGTGACTTTGAAGAACACAAAATATAAATCTAGAGATCAGTCGATGTTTTCAGGAGTTTTTGCGCCTTCAGATGTACTTTCCCAATTTTACACTTTAGTTCATTCCAGGAAATCTGACTAGTTTAAGACAAGTCAAAGACACTGCTGCTTCTGAGCCCCATGAACAGATCTCACATTAGGCCCCGCCCCCACAGCCTCAGCCAACCCTGAGATAACACTTTATAACAACACCTCCATTCCACCAATGAGCCGTTAAAAGATTTAAATTAAAGGAAGAATGTGTGACTTTTTGATCCAGTAGGTGTCGCCCTTGAGCTCCAGCATGAAACCAAAACAAACTTCTGTTTGGCCACGCCTCCTCCATCCTGAAGCCTCCGCTCTCCTCCAGAGACACACCTCCAACCCCCCTCCACTCAAACCAAGTTGCAGACAAAATCGTCCTTGACTCGAGCTGCAATCACCTGTGGCCTTCATTGTTGTGTTAGCATGCTAATGCAAGCGCTCTTTAGTTAGCTTGTAGCTTCACTTTAGCTGTGTCCTGCATTGTTGTGTTAGCATGCTAATGTTAGCACGCTTTAGTTAGCTCGTAGCTTCACATTGTTGTGTTAGCGCTCTTTAGTTAGCTCGTAGCTTCACATTGTTGTATTAGCATGCTAATGTTAGCACTAATGTTAGTGCTCTTTAGTTAGCTCGTAGCTTCACATTGTTGTGTTAGCATGCTAATGTTAGCGCTCTTTAGTTAGCTCGTAGCTTCACATTGTTGTGTTAGCATGCTAATGTTAGCGCTAATGTTAGCATGCTAATGTTAGCGCTAATGTTAGTGCTCTTTAGTTAGCTCGTAGCTTCACATTGTTGTGTTAGCATGCTAATGTTAGTGCTCTTTAGTTAGCTCGTAGCTTCACATTGTTGTGTTAGCATGCTAATGTTAGCGCTCTTTAGTCAGCTCGTAGCTTCACATTGTTGTGTCAGCGTGCTAATGTTAGCGCTAATGTTAGCATGCTAATGTTAGCACTAATGTTAGTGCTCTTTAGTTAGCTCGTAGCTTCACATTGTTGTGTTAGCATGCTAATGTTAGCGCTCTTTAGTCAGCTCGTAGCGTCACATTGTCGTGTTAGCATGCTAATGTTAGCGCTCTTTAGTCAGCTCGTAGCTTCACATTGTTGTGTCAGCGTGCTAATGTTAGCGCTAATGTTAGCATGCTAATGTTAGCGCTAATGTTAGTGCTCTTTAGTTAGCTCGTAGCTTCACATTGTTGTGTTAGCATGCTAATGTTAGCGCTCTTTAGTCAGCTCGTAGCTTCACATTGTCGTGTTAGCATGCTAATGTTAGCGCTCTTTAGTTAGCTGGTAGCTTCACATTGTTGTGTTAGCATGCTAATGTTAGCGCTCTTTA